CCCCCCCCTTCTACTCACACGTGACCGACAATGGGACCGTAAATGCCAGCATCGTTCGTCTCCTGCTTGACGCGCTTGACCAGTTGCGGCAATTTGGAAATGGGCACGCACACATCCGTAGTCCAGCACCTCTTGCCCTCTCCCGCAAACTCCAAAGCGGCCCAAAGCGCCTGCTTCCTAGCGCTCCACAACTCCTCCATCTCTGCTTCTTTGCGCGCAAATCGAACAGCTCCTCGATTCGCTCCGTAACTGGACGCGACGATGCTCAACAGCCTCTCATCCTCTGTCCTGTGCGCATCTGTACCTGCGAATTTGACAAAGAGCGTAGGTTCCAGAGGATGATGCGGTGCTGCTGCGGCTTGCTGCTCGTCGTCGTCGTCGTCATCGTCGTCGTCGGCATTGATGGCTCGAATCATCGCTTCGTCCAGCAGCTCGACGCACTGCACATTAGCACCGGTATTGAGCAGCGCATGAGCAGCCGAAACGGCATTCTCCACGCTAGGAAAAGGGACGCAAGCAACGCTGATGGGCAGCAGCGGTGCCAAGCGCAGCGTAGCGCCCACGATCAATCCCAACGTCCCTTCGCTGCCCAGGAACAATTTGGTCAGATCCGGTCCTGCGCTGGATTTGCGAGCTCGACTTCGCGTCCGGATCACCTCGCCAGATGCCAGCACCACGTCCAGGGAGAGCACATAGTCGCCCTTCATCGTGCCGTATCGCACCGCATTCGTACCGCTGCCCCCCGATGCGCACATTCCACCGATCTGAGCGCCAGGTCCCGGATCCACGGGAAAAAAGAGCTGCAAACCGAGCGATTTGAGGTGCGCATTCAGATCTTCGTATCTGAGCGAGTAGGGAAAAGCGCGATGGATGGGAGTGGGGGGTGGGGGGGGGGGGGGAAATGGCATGAGTGTACGAGTTGGCGCGCTTGCGCGAATCCTTTCGCTGGCTCGCTCGCTCGCGCACCCGCGACTGCCAAGGCTATGCTCAAAGACTGACCTGAGACCAGGCTGCACATGAACATCGCCATCCTCCGCATTCACGCTGATCACGCTCGCCATGTCCCTCCAATCGACGCAGACAGCACCTTGCAGAGCAGCGTGGGCTTCCAAGGATGTTCCTCCAGCATAAGGAACGATGGGCGTGCGGGTATGGGAGCAAATGCGCACCACATCCACCACATCCTCCACGCTTGCAGGGTAGATGATGGCCAAGGGCGGTGCGGCTGGGTGGTAAGACCATGGACTTGCGCCGTGCACCTCCAAATCCTCCACCTTTGTCGACATTTGCTTGCCGAATCGTCCACGCAATCTGGCTATGCAGGATGCTGATGCTGATGCTGATGCCGATGCCTGATGCCGATGCCGATGCTCATGCTCACGCTCACGCTCATGCTCCTCCATCCGAGCATCCCTATCGGCAAACACCTTTTCTCGATTGAAGGCGACGTAGCACACACCGAAGAGCGCAGCGGTGGACGAGAGACCTTGCAAGAGACGAGGTGCATCTTGTTGCTGTTGCTGCTGTTGCTGCTGATGCTGCTTCTTGTCGCCGCGGTCCTGCCCGCCGCGTTGCTGCTCGCCTTGATGCTCATCGCGCAACACAGACGAGCTGCTCAACCAGCGCGCCTGCGGAGATCTTCTCGCTGATGCTGATGCTGCTGCTGATGTCGATGCCAGCACAGCGTGAGCGAGGCGTGGTGGAAGTGCGAATCTGCTTGTTGCGCATGCTGCTGGCGCAATAATCAGCTGATGTGCGATGCTGCTGGAAGAGGTTGATGTTGGGCGCATGATGCATCTGCACTCGGGGTGCGGCGACGCGTTACGTGATGTGGGGCGTCACGTGCTGAATCAAATGACGAATCAAGATATGAAGTTGTGAGTGTAGGGATGATGATGATGATGATGATGATGATGATGATGACGATGATGACGCTGCTGCATGCTCCTGCTGCTGATCCAGAAGGCGCGAGTCGCGAGTGCGCGCACAGCTTAGCCCGCCTGGTCAAGACTCACGTACGCGCTCAGGCAAGTCGTGATGAGTCTTGAGTCCTGTGGGGCCATCCATCATGCGCGTCCCGATCGCGCCGTCACGTGAACGTGCTCGAGCCATTGCGTGCAACTCAAGACTAACGACTCACGACTCACGACTCACGACTCACGACTCACGACTTGCGACTTTGCACATCTGCTGCTTCCACCTCGCCCTTTCCCACCCAACTCCCTGGCCCTGTCCCCCTCACCCCACTGCACACGCTGACATGCAAGCAAGCATGCCCATGCCCATGCCATCGCCATCCTTTCAAACATGGCACAAGCGCGGTGCTATACTGCTAGCCTTTTGGACCGCCGTGGTGCTCTCCCTTCCAGCATGGTGGTACCTCACCAGCATCCAGCGACTGGCTCTGCCTCAAGAGCGCGTGCAGCATTGGGTGCAAAGGGGTCATTGTCCCATTCGCATCCCGCTTCGCATTGTCGTGGAGGTGGGCGTGGAAGTGTCGGGTGCAGCGGGGCAGACTCCAACTGCATCTGCATCTGCGCTCCATGGATTGCGGCATGAGCTGGAGTCGCTCTTGCACTCGACGCGCACCCCTACGCCCAATTGCGAGCAGGTGATGGAAGTGCAAGTGGTTGGAGAAGGAGCGCGAGCGCACATCACCGATGAGCACGGCAGCGCACAGCTCATCACCTTGTCGCTCTCTGCCAGCGCACCGCTCAGCCTCGCCAACGACGTTGCATCCCACTCCTCCTCCTCCTCCTCCTCCTCTTCCTCCTCCTCCGCCAGCATCGCTGATCAAGCGCACGCCATCCATCAAGCCATTTGCAAGTTGCTGCAGCTCGAAGCGATCCCCACCTCCATCTCTGCCCGCGAGATCCCTTACTCTCGCAGAGTGCGAACAGTCTGGCACTTGCTCAACGAAGACGCTTCCGTCAGCCGAGCCAGCAATCATACGCGCTACTCGGGCGTGAGAGGGTGGGATGCGCAGGCTCTCAATCATGCCCTCATCCGACACATCGGTCCCATTGCCCATCATCTCGACGCTATTCACGATGTCGCTACGGAATCGCAAGTCAAGTGGCACGCACCTCTAGACTTTCAGCCCGTCGAGATGCACGTGCCTGGCGAGAGCGTGCCAGAGGTGCTGGAAAGCGTGCCACAGCGGCAGAAACAGGAGGGCGACCAGAGCGCAGATGATGCGGTGACGCGCGATGCGAGCACGCAAGAGGATGCGTCAGAGGCGCGTGTTAGCGATGAGCCGGCTGATGCGGAATCATTTCCGAGCGAGGAGCAGCAGCTCGCGACCGGCATTGCGCTTCCGGAGCTTCCGCAGCCAAAGAAGGTGCATCTGATCACCCCGGATGATCTGACCGTCTTTGTCAATAGCGCCGCCTGGGGTCTATCATCGCCCTCACCGGCGGGCGAGTACGAGTTTCCAAGGGCTCCGTGGACCACCAAGCGTTTGGATGAGGCGGAAGAACATGCATGGGGCTCCGAGGAGTTGGAAGAAGAGAGGACGCTTCATTTCGTCCTTTTTGTTGCTGCGCCTCATCATCGACCGCTGCTCATCCAGACCCACAACTCAACGGCAGCAGCAGCTTCCAACTCTAGCGGGTTCTTGGTACCTCAATGGGGAGGCGTCTTTCTGCACAACATTGCAGAGGTGCAGGCGGCTTCAAATGTTGGGGATGCGCTGGCACCCGCGCTAGGCTCCGACGATCTGGACCCAGCTATGCGCGTCTTTGCTTCCCAATTGAGAGCACTTTTGGGTTTGAGAATACCCGTCTCGCCCCGAGGTAGTACGCAAGGGCAGAGGGAAGCGCGCATAGCAGTAGCTCGTGACGCTCTGCTTCGAAGACGCATCGCAGAGACTGCGAGAGAGGCGGTCAGGACGTTGGATGGCATCATCAAGCTTACGGACAAGATTGAGAATCTGGGAATCGGACCGAGGGTCAGGGATGATGTGATGAGCGCATTGGATGCGTTGGATCAGGTGAGTCCAGCTGGGACAATACATCAGCGAGGCGCTCTTCCTTGGAGTGCCGCGTTGCCCCTGACACCAACGCCCCGCTGCCCCCCCCCCCCCCCCACTCTGCTTGGACGCAGCTCGAGACGGAATTACGATTGCAAGGTTCTTCTGCCGGATCGGCTTCCGAGCGGTTATCTCGGGCGCTATCGCACAGCAGACGAGCAGCGTCTCACGCTTCCAGAGCATTCTTCAATAGAGACATGCTAGCTCTGCTCTACTTTCCCGCAGAACACAAGTATGCCGTGTACACGCCATTATTCGGACCTGTCGCTGTACCCCTCTTGGTCGCTTTGGCTAGATTGGCAAAGGAGAGGCGGCGCAAAGCGAGAAGCAGCGCGGAAAAGGAAAGGGAGAGCATCAACAAAAGAAGGGAGCGGTGAAGCGTGCGAGAGTGGGGATGCTGCTTGCTGCTGCGTCAGCCAGCATGTGGCTCGCGCGCCGCCGCCGCGTCCCAAGCTTTCAGATGGGGCAGAACAGCAAAATCGTGCACTCCCCCCCTCGTCGGTTCATTCGTAGAGTCTAATTGTCACAACGTTTCATTCGCGATACTGCAAGCCGTTCTCGTGGTCGCATAGCATGCATGGCACGCATCGCACATCGTCCGTCACGGTGAGCCTGATCACAAGCAGATGAAGATCGTCGGTAAGGGTGATGATCTCTTGCAGCCAGTCGTGCGAGAGTGGAGGGATGGGGCAGAGGGGGGCCAAGGACCTGCCCAAAATGACAAGGCCATGTGCAGGTTTCTTCTCTTCTTGCCCCCGAACAGCCGCTCCGCCCCCGCAAGATTTCTTTTTTTTTTTTTTTTTTTCATCCCAATCTGCAGGCGACGGAAGGTAGTTGGCTGGCGATGACGTAAGAGGCTCGTTCGGCACCATCGACGAGGCAGCTAGCGGTCAAGTCTAAGAATGCGCCATCGAACACGCCCTGCTTGCCTGGTCCGCTTATGTTGGGCTCAGCAGAAGCGCCGTTGGCGTAGATTTCACAAGCAGCTTGGCGAGGGTGCGTGCGGTCCAGTGCGGAAAGATGGGTGGGTGAGGAGAAGGGGGGGGGGGGGGGGGGGGGGGGTAAGAGTAAGTTCGGACTCGGCTCGGGGAGGATCAGCTGGCTAGCTAGCTCGCCCATCATGAAGAAGGTGGTGCTGCGAAGCGAAAAGGGGGACCCCCGCCTCGGAACTCGATCGAGCAGACGGACCCCTCATCTGACGCCGTGTCCTCAGACAAGATTTCGAAAATTCCCTCCGAACGAAGCCGAACGAAGCGGTGGGAGCCTTTCTTTGTGTCTCCCACTTCACACTCACTGTCCCAGTAGCTAAGATCGCCCATGCTCTTTACGCATACGTTTTCTGTTCGGCGAAATCAAGTGCTTTGCCTTCGGTCAGCGGGCGCGTCGTTGGGGTCTCGCGAACGACGAGATCTGCTCCATACTCACTGGCAAGAGCGCTTGGTACGCTCACGAGCGCAAGCGCAAGCGCTACGACGACGAGAGAGATGGAGCAGCGCATGCTGGGTTCAAGTGACGACGAGATGTGTAGTGCAGCGTAAGGAAGGGGACTCGAAATTCAAATTGATGGGGGTGGTGGGAGCTTGGCGTCAAAGTCAAGAAGAAAGGAAAGAGTCTCGAGAGCTCGTCAAATACTCGTGGGGGCCTGGTCCAGCCACGGTCACATCTTTGTGCGCGATCGAGCATCCCTCAAACTTCGTAAAGGTAGCCTCGAGACGCAACGACACATTCGCGCGGGCGGCGGGCGCAGACCGAACAGCACGCCTTGCAGCGTTGCGTACCGAGTGTCGCAGGGGCCTCTCCATTCACCTAGCGGTGCGGACCGCTCCGTATCATCGGCGCCCGCGAATGGACCGCCGTGGCATATGCCTCTTGGGCAGGTGTTCAGGTGCCTCGGAGCCCACGAATAACTTTTGGAAAGGTGAACCGGAAGTAGACATCCGAGAATTTGAATTTGAAAGGTCCCCCGGGTGTGCCTGGAGACGGTGTTGTGTGCGATCCACGCACGGCACTCTTGTCTACTTTAAGCCGGAGCAAGACGAGCGATACGCGCATGCGTCGGTGTTGCAACGTCATTCCATTGCTTTTCTCGATTCCCTTATTTCCCTCGGTCGAGCACACAATTGAACAACTGCCCCAGCACGCGCATCCCGGGCCCTCGTTGTCTAGTGGTGCGTTTGCTTACCCAGAGACGCCACCCCTTGCGACTCTGAGTGACGAGCAGGTAATCAAGGAGGCGTGGGCGGGCAGATGATTTGCGGCAGCAAATTGCTGGCGACTACAAAGAACATTTCTTGCCCATGGATGATGCAGCTTGCGGTAAGGTCCAGCCACTTTGTACCAGCGACCTTGTGGCCTTGCAAACCTGGGCCTGACAGGTCGGCAGTCTTGGGTCGACCGTGCGCCTGATTTGCGCATGCATCTTGCCCACGATTTGTGCGGGATTGCAACAAGCGGAGGAAAAGTGGCAAAAAAGCAAGGATGGGGTGAGCGAGTCTTGGGGGCTGACACGTGGAAATGTGAGCTACGGTCGTGTCAGCTGCATCAGCCTCAAACCTCACCGTCCCAGCCTTTGACTTCATCAAGCGTTTCAGCACAGACGTTGTCTGGTAGGAGAAGAGGATGAAGACGATGGCGGCGTCAGCCTTGTCACAACAAAAGCTAGAGCCAGGGACCGACTATTCACGCGCAGCTACCACTCCAGTGCCGAGGCTGAGTGCCGACAACATGGCCAGAATGACTGTGGGTCGCATGTTGATGTGTGCAGGCATGCGAAGAGATGCCGTTGTGCTCAGCTGTAGCTAGGTAGCTAGAGACGCGGTGTTCGATGAGGCTACAGCGTGCGTACTTGGTCTTCGCACCTTTATATAGCTTTTAGGCGCTAGTCTCAAACAGCGTGGCGGACAAGAGCAGAGCTGCACCGAAGTACAAGAGGCGGTGAAAGTAGCCATCTGCGACGGAAGTGTTCATTCCAGAGTCGGGTCGGTACATGAACAAGGTCCCTTGTGGTCGCTGATCCCTCCTGGGCGGTCACTTGTGTGGACAGGCGGCGGAATAGATTGGGCGTTCGCAAAGGATCGCGCGCGCGCGCGCTCCAATCAGCGATTTGCGAATGAAAGCGGGCAAGTTACGGGATCGAAGTTGTGACCTTCTAGAATTATTTTGAATTGTCGAGCAGGCGCAAGCACTCACAATCCTGTTCGCCCCACGTCCCAATGCTATATAGTGTGACTACAGTCGTCATAGGCAGCATTCAAGTACCGACAAGACGACTTTTTGCATCGCGTCCTGAGACAAGGTTACCAAAAGCTTGCATTGACGTTCAACGCGCGCCCAAACAAAAGAGTGCCGCAGCGTGCGGTCAGAGCGTGAGTGAGCCTGTGGGTAAGCAGCACCACCGCGAAGCATTCACCATCGCGGACCTGTCGAGGTACGACGAAGGGAGTCGATCTACGCTCCACATGTGTTGTACGACTGACGCTTGCCTCTCGATTCTCTCTTTGGCTGGGTTCCAAGATAGCGAGCTCAGATGGATGATAGCTGCAGCTGGACACCCGAGCCCCCCCCCCCCCCCCCCCCCCCCCCCCCCCCCCCCCCCCCCCCCCCCCCCCCCCCGATTCATTCACTCACCATATTCGGCTCGGAATGGATTCTTCTCCTCCGTCGGAATGGGCAGTTTGCTCGGCTCCGGCGCGCGGAAGCGAAGATGTGCGAAAAAGTAAACAGGCTCCGCTCCGATCTACGCGCGACGTGCATAAATCAGCGCGTGCAATTAAGATGTATCCACGAGTCGAAGAGGGCTTTCTCGCTGTCGATCTGCTATAGCTGCAGATGGGACGGCCCAATTAAGCTGCATATATTCAAGATTCAAGATTCACATAGATGCGTTCATGCACAATCTTGCGGCCGCGGCGGCGATCTCGCATCGAGCGCTGCACAAATCGCATGGGCGACGGCGGGCATGCATGAGCCGAAAGCGGAGACGATGCGGTGCTGCGCATGCATGGTGGTTGTGCCGAGCAGATCCAGAGACTTTTGTATAAAGAGGGGTCAGATGTCGGCGGTGATTTCGATGGTCTCCCTCCCCCCCCCACCCCCCCACCCTTCTGCAATTTCCACTGTATTCGTGCAAGATGAAGTACGGACGCATTGCTGCGCTGCTTGTTCAAGCTGTGGCCTTGGCGACCGCCACACCAGCAGCCCATGTCGTCAACAGCTCAGCTCCCATCGGGACACTCCACATTTTTGGAGATTCGTGAGTGTTGTGCAAGTGCGGCGCAGGTGAGCTGCGTCCTCTGATGACGATCATTCCATGTTTATCTCGCAGCTACACCGACAGCTGCAACGTCTGGCACCTCCAGCACAGCGACACGCCCATCTTTCCCGGTTGCCCTCCTCCCGATGCCGGAAGAAGCACCGGCGCAAGAGCTTGGCCAGAGTACATTCGCATCGATCAAGGTCAGCGCGAGAGCAGCAGCACCAACGCTTCGAATCCATCGTCGCCCGGTGGCGATCCAATCGCAGGCAGCAAGCAGCAGCAGTGGCTTATCCGCAACTGGGCATTCAGCGGTGCTACGTGCGACAATGCGGCCTTTCCCTCTCAAGCTCCCTCGTGAGTAAGCACGCGTGGATTGGTCCAGTCTTTTCGCTCTGCTCCTCGCTGATCAGATGATCGCTCCGCTCGTAGAGTCGTCGATCAGCTTGCACTGCTTCAGTCCGGCTATGGAGCCGTGCCGCCCATCGGCAAGCCCAACGCCAAGGCGGACGTAGCCCTCTTCCTGATCGGCACGAACGATGTCATCCGACTAGCTTCGAAGGAGCGCGGTTTTGGCGGCTTGTTTCCCTACAATTCCAAAACCACGGTCGCGAGCGAGACGGCCTGCATTCGTGCTCGCATCGAGCTGCTGCATGAGCTCGGCTTGCGTCGCTTTATCTTAGTTGAAAATACGCCTCTGCAAAATACGCCGGTTTTTCGGCAGCTCAATGCGACTGCGGAAGGAGCAAAGTATACGCAAGCCAACAATGCAGAGCAAAAGAAGCTCGCCATGGTTTTGAACGCGCAGTGGAAAGGCAATGCAGTCATCGACATCTTTCCTGCTTATGCGCTCTTTGACGCCTACTACCGCAAGCCTGAAGAGTATGGCATCGCGAATGTGGACACGCCTTGTAATCACACTGCTGCTTGCACGACCAGTCTGTGGCAGGACAGTGAGTCTTGTTGTTACAGCTTCGAGCTGCAATGCACCAGCTAATGCTCCTCCATCTCCCTCCTGTAGCTCTTCATCCCGCTCCGCGTCCCTGGAAAATCTTTGCTCGCAAGTGAGTCGTCGGTGCAACTGAACGAGTACGTAATCTTGCTGATCATTGTCTGCTCTCGCAGACTGGTGCGCTTTGTGGCGGGTGTCCGCGGTGACGCTCTCATCAAGGGTGATGAAGGGGCTCAATAAAGGAGGTGCGAGGTGCAATCAACTCTCAGGGGCCTCTTGATGCTCGAGGCAGCGAATCAGTCCAAGCAACGCATGCACCTTTTCAAATGCATGTACAGAGATGTCTGCCTGCTTCATTAGCTCGATTCGGCATTCAGCAGAGAACTGATTCTCTCTTACCATAGGCTGATTCACGTTGCTATCGTGACCTTTTGCTGCGCTGCCAGGGTCCAGGTTGAGCCAATTGCGATGGGGCTCAACACAAAGGAACGACTGGTTTTCCATACTTGTCTGAGCAGTCTGAAGTCTCCTATGAGCTCAGAGCATCGCTGTGAATGTCAGTCGCGACGATGTGGGCCTGGAGTCTGCGAACTTCTCACGCTCAGGTCACGATGATGATGTATGTATTGAGGAAAGAGCGTGAGTGACGCGGTATGTACATGCATGATGGACGCGCATGCGCACGTGACAGATCTGCCGTCCTGCTGCAGCTGGAGGTTCACTCCAACGATCGATTGGACAGCCACGGTGAGCGCGTGTCAGCTCGTCTCGCCAAGCTTGACCCGAGGGATACTGACACTCGGCCTTTTTGCACGTCCTCAGGTGGCTGGGGATCTCGGGTTTGGCGCCGCCTAAAGCAGAAGGGTCGCTATGCCGTCATCTCGAGGGCGGAGGCTGCAAAGTATGGCACGGCGAATATTGCACGTGACATGCTCGTGCATGCATGCATGAGGTGCATAGCCCACAGACGACATTCATCAGACTATCCCATATCCAAGCAATCCAAATCACTTGACTGAATGTGAGATGAGGTTACATTCTCTCAGTGTCAAAGCGATTACGGTGTTGTCATGACCAAGAGCCTGATCACGCTAGAGTGAGGTACAGACATTCGCATGACTGAGCGTAGTCGTCGCCCGTGTTTCGGATCAGATATTCGCTGAACGTGTGACGAGATTGAGAGTTGACGGCGATGATCACCTGACGGAGTGATTGGCATCACTGATCTGCCACCTTCATGAAGCCAGTCACAGTGCGCTTGCGGCTGCACGCAGTCATCAGAATGTCAGTCTTTCGGCCTCGCTCACCAAAGCCCAATAGGCAAACCAGCAGACTGGACTGACTCACCACTGCTGGTCGGTCCTGATTTGGATGCACGACGCGCGCGCGCGTGCATGGAGGAACCGGTCCCCTCGGGGAGGTGGGGGCCATGAGACCTAGACCGCGGGTCTGGCCGTGCAACCAACCTAGCGCGGTGGCTTGCAGCAAGCGCGCACCGCGAACAGCGTTCGAGGCTCGAAAAGTTGAGAGAGCCTGCTTGCTTCGTGTCTTTTCCGCTCGTATCGTATCGTGTGACTAGTCAACAATGGCAAGACAAATCAGGGGGCGGAAAGCATTCGGTGGGCCCAGCATCCCCTCTGTGGGCAGCGCTCCCGTCGATCGGGGACAAAGCGTCACAGAATGCGGATGTTCAGATTCTTTGCATCGATGCGCTATCACTTGCGATACAATGAGCCTGGATTCACGCGTTGGAATGGGGGCCACTCGCGACTTTGTGGTGATGTCCGCAAAGCATAAAGACTCGACGGTTGTTCAAGATCTGCCCACTGTCAGCCAGAACTCTGCACTCCTACTCATCCATTTGCGCTTTCTTTCTTTGGTCGTAGCTCCCAACGTCCACACCCATATCGCAGTAAGGATGCAGCGTCCCGCCTACCACCTGACCTCATCCAGCGACTCTGGCATGCTCAAGTACAATGCCGCCCCAGCACAGCCGCCTGACACACGGGGTCGACCGCTGCGCGCCATCTTTTGGGTCTTGTTCAAAGGCCTCGCAGTCCTTATCGCGCTCCTCGCTCCGCTTTGTGTGCTGTTTTGGTACATCTTCAAAGCTCACCAGGCGATCCGCGTTGGTCTCTACATCTACACCACCGCGCCCGTACACGAGCTCTTGACGATCAGTCAAGTCACCAGCAAGATAGCTGAAAAGGTTGTTGCTCCAGGTGAGCGGCACAGAGGCGCACGTTCGTATGGAGTAGCTTTACTCACAGTGAGCCTCCCCGTGTCCTCAGCAATGGCGGTCTTTGGATACTTGTGCGCCGCAAGCTGGCTGCGACGTAGCGAACTCAACGGTACATATTCCAACAGCACTCTTCCGACACCCCTGCAGTGAGTAGTGCAGCGATCAACCCACACGTCTGATCTCCTCAACTCATTTAGACCCAACATCTCACAACGCTCTCAGACTCGGCATCGTTCAGACCGCTCTCGGTTCTGCCAACTTTTTCGCCCTCTCCGACGGCATCAAGTACCTGCTCGGTAAAAGCGGCCACGCCAGACGTCCAAAGATGCCTGCTTTTGTCTCTGCCGCCGTCATTTTGCTCTGCTGGCTCTTGACTCTCGAAGTGTTGGCTTTCTTTGCCGACTTTGCATTCCATCAAACGACTGTCAACTCCAAGGTCTGGCTGCCTCCCACACCCGCTCAAATGCAAGCCGAAACGCGCGCAAAAAGCCTCATCGCAACGCCGCCACTCGATTGGACAGTGGATCCTCTGTCGGTCACAGCGTCAGTGAATGACACTGCCAATGCCTATGGGGCACAGGCCGACTCTACCATTTCTAGCATGCTTCTGGGTCGACGGGTCAACGAAACATACTGTGCCTCGTGGAACGCTTACTTCAATGACTTTTCGAGCTCTGAAGCAAAGAACAGCTGCGGCTACTACAAGTGAGTCCACGGGCGCGTCTGTGCTCATCCGGTTAGCGCTTGCTGATATTCGACGTCTCACAACCGTGGCGAATCAGCGGTGCTGCATCGGGCAACCTTGTCATTTGGGCACCAAAAGGGCAAAAAGCATTTGCCAACTCATCCACCACCCATGCTGTTGCCTGGACCGACGACACGCACTCCATCATGGTAGCCCCGAACCAGCCCGCCTTTTCATACTCTGCAACTGCGCCAGGCATCAAGGCTACGTGCGCCAGTATCACGAGGGAGTGTACCCAATGCGCCGGCGATGGCACGGGGACTTCGTACTGCGGGCCACTATCTGGCGTTGATCTTAGATGCAATGGACCGCACCAGTACAATGGAACGGCAGAAGCAACAGGTTGGCTGGACGCTGCCGGCAACGTTCAGATCGACAGCAACGTACCTTTCACCAAGTGAGTGCCGAGTACCTCTCACGAAAGAATTATGAGCGCGCAGCTTACAGCGACTTCCTCGATTTCGCAGCCCTCTGCACTGGGGTACCACGATCATTTCTCAAGCTTACGTTGACTACGAAGGCGGACACGGAAGTGGCACGTATGACCCAACTACGTGAGTGAGACCAGGCCGGCTGTCTGTTTCTACAGCACCGCTGAAACAGTGATTCGATATGGCAGAGGATTCGTCGTCTGGGGCCACTCGGGAGCAACGAATGTGCTGCACTGCGACGTCGCCGTGAGACTTGTCACGTATCGATTTGATCCGCCCAGCACATTCAAGACAATTGGTACGCAGGACGTGAACGCTGCAGCAGCGCACAGATTCGTTTGGAGCGCGTGAGTCTTTGCGCGGCAGCAGATACAGCGAGTGCCCAACGCTGACGCTAACCTTTGATCCAACCGTTCTCGACTCTTCTTTGTGTGATCTTCCGATAATTTCTCGTCTCCTCGCCTTGCAGAACGGACCTCTTTGCCACGCCTGGCTCGGACCTGATAGGGTCGATCATCGATGGTGCAGGTCAGCTAGCTTCTGATCCCTACCCGGAAGTTTACAGTCGAACGCTCTCTCGCTGGTTGATGGCATACTCTGCCGAGATGATGAGCAGCACGCCACTGGACACGCTGGAAGGTCATGGAGTACCTGGCACGCGAGTTCACCTCGTGGTCTTGACTGTCTTTGCGGCCATCGTTCTCATCGAGTGCATCACCATCTCTTTGGTCGCGCTCGCTGCGGCTGCTCACACTTGGCGCTGTAACGACTTGACCGTCAGAGCAGTACGCAAGCGCCTCACTGGACCTTTTGCCCTGTTGTGCCAGACATATGGCACTCCTCGACGCCTGCAGCCTGAATTGGGCGGATCGCAAAAGCAGGCATGCCTCACGGAAGACAACTTGCAATTGTTCGAGTGCGAGAGCACGAGCGGCGCGCACGGTCTGCGCCTTCGCAAGGCAATGCACATGCCACCCGCCGGCTCTCCCCTCGCTGGTAACGTCTCGACCTGGAATCTCATTGCGGACTAGTGTCTGACCGGCTTCCGCACGCTTCTGGACTCGCCTTGTCTTTTTCGTCACCATATTGTCTGCTGGTCACCAAATCATCGTTTCTCTCGTTCATTGGATGAGTCTGCTGTATCGAAATGGAGCACTCAGTCACCTCTGCTTCACTTGTCATTGCAATGCAGATGCAGTCATTGGGCGCCTCGGCCAAGGTGTAAGGTAGCTGACGGCCAATCCGTCTTCTGGATCAATGAAAGTGTGCGAGCGAGATGCAGGGTTGACGGCGATGGCCGCCCAACGGAGTCATTGGCATCACTGATCTGCCACCTTCATGAAGCCAGTTCGCTTACGGGCAGACTCGGTGTAGTTGTCGAGGTCGCTGGAGGTCAGGTGCTGACCGCTGTCAGCATCTTGTTCGCAAAAGTCACAAGTGGCAGCTGACCACTCACGATCCAAGGGGAACCGGCTTGATCTTGATGTTCCTGCACAGAACCGCAGCGTATCGCGCATCGCGTGCTCACCAGTCAGCGGCAGCCTGCGCGTACGGCTCTCTCGTGACTCACAGCGTACACTCCACCCAGAGCTGACCGACTTTGGGTCCGGGTGCAACAGCGTTGATTCTCGAATCATTGCTTGTCACAATGTTGCAGGCGTCCGACCAGCACTTTGCTGCCGCTCCCATGCTTCCTCTGCATTCTGGGTGACCAGTCGAGACATAGACGACTTGAGTACGGAGTCACGGAAAGGTCAGTCTGCTGCGGCACATCGATCGGTGAAGCACTCTTCTTGTTTCCAGCTCACTCAAGGCGTTGTCGGAGAATCCGGGAGGTGTGTTGGCCATGCTGGTGCCTATAGCAAGGATAGCACCGAGCAAGACTGCGAGTCTGAGTCGATGAAGCATGGTGCTAGCTGCGCAGGAAGGGAATGCTTGGTAGGCTGGGAATGACTCGATCGTGATGCTAGACGAGACTGACGATAGTATCACCTGTGGGACCTTTTGTAGGATGATTGGACACGTTTCTGCGTCCAGACAGCGTCGACGACGACGGTGAACATTAAACGCTGCTATCACAGCTGAAGGTGAATTCAGCCCGGTGCACATCCTCCAGAATCCACGACGCGTCAGTCAACGAGCGCACGGGGATCCTGGCGGCGCTGTGTCGCATGGTCATGTCGGGGATTGGGGCACGGAGTTCCCCTTCGAAGAGCAATTCGTCCGCAAGATTTGGGCCTCTGCGCCGGCAGACGTCTTCTCCGCTGCTAATCATACACCTTGTCACTCGATTCTACCCCGAGTTCTCCAGACAGCGCTGGGCTCTCTTGCACATCGCGGGCTCTTGGGAGACCTTCAGGTCCAAGCGCCGAAAGATTACCCGGAGTCAGTGTTGTGGAGTACAATTGGTGAATGTCAAAGATCGCTAACGATGATGGTGGTGGAGGACAACCAAAATGGAGACCCTTACGAAGCTTCATTCACGAAGCTAGGATAATGCGCGCGTCATGCGATGCATCCCTCGCAAACGATGTCATGATGCGTTTGACGAGCGTACCAGACGGAAGCGGAACTTGGCAGCGCAAAGGAAAGAGCTTTCGCTTGCACTATAAAGCCAACGTAAGGGTCGTTTTATCTGCTCGAAGAACAAGATTGTTCTCAACCTCAAGTGTTACCGAGTCTTGTCTACCGACACTCATTGATGCCAGCTCAAAACTTATCGAGCGCAAATGAAGGCTGCTTGACTTGTGGGGCCACAACCAAATGTCAGCGAGCGGCGCGTAGAATCAACAACACGAATTTCAGCTCCGGTGAGAAGCGAGTAATTCTCGAAGATCAACGTTCATTGTATCGTTTTAGAATGTGTCACTCTGGCTCAACGAGCGCCTTTGATTCCACAAAACAAGCGCAAGTGTGCAAACACCAGGTCGTGTGTCGAATGATTCAGAATTCGCCTGCCGTTTCTTCGTTCTTGACAACGTGAATCGCAGGAAACCAAGGGTAAAGCAAGCATTTGTGACGAGGTCGGCGCAGGACGTGTGGACATATTACCCTTCAATGACGGCAAAGTGGGCAAAGGGAAAGAGAATTGGTTCACCAGCGAGAAGAACGGCGATACTTTGTCGGCCTTATGATGCCATGCATTTGGCACCGTTCCAACCTTCAAATGACTACTCCGGTAGCCGCTTCAGGCCTCTTTGTGGAAGCCAGTCTTTGAGATTGCAGAATCCGTGTAGTTGTCGAGTTTGCTGATTTGGGAGTCCGAGCTCGCGACTCTCAGCTTCTGATGGCAACACGGATCGATCGATGCAGGTAATGACTCACGAGCCGACAGGAACCGGTTTGATCTTGATATCACTGAAACGGTCGGGCGAGGGCAACATCATTGGCACGCATTCCATTATGAAACATGTCGAAGTTACACTACTCACAGCGTACACTCGACCCACCACTGGCCAACCTTATCGGCAGGGGCCATGAGCTTGATCCTCGCACTGTTGCCAGTCACCGAATCACACGCCTGCTCCCAGCAGTTGGAAGCAACGCCAGGATTCTCTCTGCATCCTGGATGGCCCGTCGAGATGGAAACGACTGATGACGAATTCGTCTGCAGTCAGCGTCCTCATCTACCAACATGCTCGCTTATCAACCGCAGCACCCACTCACTCTCGGCATTGTCGGAGAAGCCTGGAGGCGTCTTTGCGAGGCTCGGTGCCATTGCGAAGATCGCGGCGAGGGCGATGGTGGTCTTTATGTGATTGAACATGTTGGTAAGTCCACGAAAAACGCAGCGCGAGAATGGCTTTTCAACGACTTTTCTTCAGGATAGACGATTCGAGAATGGGGAAAACGTGAGGTGAAGGGGGAAGTTCTTGAGCGCTCATTTATACTACATCTACTCGAGTGCTTGCGCAGGTGTCTGGCATTGCACCAGACACTATGGGACTATGGGTCATGACAAGGCGTGTCCGCGCGCATCACAGAGCTCACGATTCGTACCCGTAAGCGCTCAGCATTGATTGAGCTCACAATGACACGTTAGCCGTTGTCTATGCAGACAATGATTGGCAATAAGTCGCATGATCGCGGAGTAAGGTAGACGGCCCGCGCTGCCTTGAGCAATCTACTTTGCGTAGGTTAGCAAAGATTGTGAACGCCTCTTTTGCCAATCGATATGTTGATCTGTTGTGGAAAGGGACCAAACTCGTATCGAGTGGTAGGTCGACTGAAGGAACTGGAAGATGTCGCGCTTGTGTTCAACAAGAATGATGGTGTTCATATTGCAGATTTGAGCTTTATGTACATGCATATTTCGTGCACTTTGTGCGTGCGCGACACAGAGACTTGTGTACATGCATGGCCCTTGCGGCCGCTCAACTGCCTCGAGCGTAAAGGGGACCGTGCGCTTGACACAAGCGTCCCACGCGCTTAACTCTGATCCGTAGCTCGCCATCCGAGCTCAAGCGTAGCCTACCATGTACTTGCGAATGTACTGGGTGAGGTCGTAGGTATTACTGGTAAGCAGGGTGCAAAAAGTGAAGGCCGACAGAAATCAGTCGACCACACAAGCGCGTTTCCCGGCGCGCGCCAACTGCACTCGTCTCACCCTTCCAGCGTCTCGCTGCAAATGATGCGGATAATATGGAGACGTGAGTACATCTTCAAAGCCACACAATAAGCAGGCTTTGACCGATCACCCACCCGGTGCATTCTGCCCAGCCGTAGCCACCATTGGATGGCTCCTCCGCGACTGAAGTGAAAGCATTGATCCTGTACTGTCCATTGGCCATGTTGGTGCATGCGTTCGTCCAACATTGAGAGGCGGTGCCAATGTTTGATGTACATTGCGAGTCAAATGCCTGTTTCCAGTACACGACTGTGTGGTCCGTTGCGTGTGGATGCTTCATCAGTCGAGCGCTCTTCCATCGGTTCGAATCGACGCACCTTTGGCATTGTCAGTGAAACCTGCAGGTCTTGTATACTTTGGAGTCGCTTGCGCGGCAACAAGGGCACATAGTAGAAGAGTGAAGCTGCAGATGGCGATCATGTTGAAACGGTCAAATTTTGGTGAACATTTGAAATTTGGGGTGGGTGTCATGTTGGGAAGTCGAAGCGGAAAGTGCCGGGTATTCGCAAGTTGATGTCTCTCGACGACATTGAAGGTCATACAATCACTGAAGTGCGCATCTTGCGAATCCTGCTACGCGCCAGAGACTCGCTGAACCGCTCATCAGTTCCAGCAGGCAGCACACTTGCAGCAACGCTGAGTGCATGGTCGCCCCGGCACAGCAGCGGAGCATTTGAGCTGCAGCAAAGCGTCCATGACATTCTCACGATATCGGCTGGCGCCGCCGACACGGCCCGGCAACGCATTCCCGGTGCGACAAGCTTGCATTTGTGCTGCTCTCGGCATAGGTCATTCCAGCCGGTGCAGACGTGTTTGTTTAATTTACTAAGCACGGTTGGGGACACCGACAATCAAGGAGGCACCAGTTAACCCCAAATATTGTCACTTGATGCGGACATCATTTCGTCTCACAACAAGCATTGCAGTCTGACATTGACAGAATCATGAAGTATCTCTATTCGGCTTTTACTCATTCGAGGTAGCTCGTGACAGCTTCATGATGAATTGGTCGTCTCTGATGTGTCCTTTGTCGAAGCCGGATCGGCCGAAAGACATTGAAGACGGAAGGCTCAGCAAATGCCGCTTTACCCTGCAGCGCTTCAGCCGATCACAGTGAACGACACGTCCTTTTCGGCGACATCCTGCGAAAGGTTGACTAGGTTGCTATCGAGCGGCAAAAGAACAAGGTGTGATCATCAGCCGTCTACGCTTCGGATGTGGTAAGCCTCACTCATTCGTACTTACCCGTTCGGACCTTCGCTGAGGTTTGAAAAGGGAGGATCGTTCGAGCTGAGGGTCAAGACGCAAGGGCTCGATCTCGTCATATGCTGCAACTCACGCGGTGCACTCCGCCCAAGCATTTCCGCTGTTGAGTCCCTCCTCTATCACAGGGCCGAGCAGATTGACGGTGAACGACTGCGCGCTCCTAGCCGTGCAGGCTTTGAGCCAGCATTGGTCCGCAGCGGCAATGTTTGCACGGCAGTTCGTATCCTGCGCAACGGTCCACTTGACAACTGCAGCATGGTGGAGATGGCGACGGAAGTATGAGCGAACATTGCAACCTCGTGGTGAGCGTCCAACTTACGAATCGCGTTCTTGGTGAATCCTTCAGGTTTTACAAGAGTACGCGCATGTGCAACAGAGACGGCGCAGAGAATGAAGGCGAGGTTGAATGCAGATACCATGATGAAGAGATCGACTTTTTTCTGAAGGGTTAGGTCGATGTTGAGGCTCAGGGATAGAATTTTGCACTTTCAAAGGAAGCTGTAGATGGGGGGAACGTCGGATCTGCGCATCGTACCTTCTTACTTATGCGCCAACTTTTCCATCATTTGATCGGCACGCAGCGCTGGAGCAGGCTTGACCGTCTGTCCTTGCGCTTGACATGGGCACCACAAAAGCCAGCATCCGTTCACGCGGCACACCCTGGGTCTCGCCTCTTTGCCAGCGGATGCGCAGTCAGACCTGACCTCGTTTTTGTCATTTACGGCCACAATTGAGAAGAGAAGAAAAACACCTCTTTAAATGGTTCGAGGAAGATGCGCAGCGCAAAATGCAATGAAGCAGCGGTAGCGCGACTCAAATGGGGACCAAGACTCGCATGAAACCTCAGGGGTAGTATAAAGAGGAGCGTATGCCAAGCTCATGCCAGCCTTGGTGTGTTCAAACAGCTGGCGACATAGCTCACGCGTATGTGCACTTTCGGTACGCGTACTTTGTCTTCTCTCGGGTCCAAGGGCCTTGATTTTGGTCCAAATTCTCGGGCTCTTGGTGCGATGATCCATCCAGCACTTTGCGGCTGCTCCGACCGCTTCGACACAACGGACAAATGTCGCTTGTGCGCAGTAGTCGACCGCGCGGCGCGCACAGACTGGGCGAGTCACGCAGAACGTCAGCCGTGGTGGCCGATAGCGATGTGTTCTCAGAGACGCACACATGAACGTCTGCATGCGCAGCAGTGCGCTTTGTTGGACGCCCAATCTCTGCCGCACTGAAGGTGCTTGTCGAGGTGTATGCTGACCGCGAGGCTTCACACGGAGTAGACCAGACCTGTCCAAGCCTGCATTCGGGACGTTGAGCTCCGCGGATGCAGACGATGGATCCAAGCGCCAATCTATCCGAAGCCACGAGCTCTTGTGATGACTGTGTCATGACTGCGACGGAGGTTCAGCTCCGGCGCAGCCACAGGTCCGAGGGCCCCGCCGCCGCGCCATCCCCGCCGTCGCCGGTCCCATCCAGGGCCGCGGATAAGAGGCGCTGAATGTTCATCACTAATCACAAATTCCATTTGTGGACGCGAGCGGCTCAGAGTGCGTTGCGAGCGTGCACAAATCGATGGCAGGGAAGGGTTGGTAGCGAAGCCAAGATGCTCCAGTGAAAAAAAAAAACGCTACTAGCGAAGCACCATATCTGCATGAAGCCACGATGATGCGTGTGTCGTGTGACCTGCTGCTGTCTTGAGTGTTGTGGTGCATGCGACGGCCCAAAT